ACTACCAATACACAAAAAATAAGTACTAGTGAATAAAAAGCACTCATTGCAAAGTCTCACTTCTGATGTTTTAGCCTATATTGTATATTTACAGTCTTTATTTACAGCTTTGTTCACATCTGTTACTGATGTAATAATGTTGATAAATTCCTTATGTGCTAAGCCTGTGATGTTTATATTTTAGGTCTTTGGAACCAGATAATCATTGCAAGTATACATTATAGGCAGTGTACATTAATTATATAAAACACAACCTAATAACTGTTTACTGTATTTACATAAAGTACTTTTTGAGGTACAACTTACTTATGTATTTTCCATTTTTTGCTACTTATACTGCTACGTCACCACATTTCAGAGGCATATATCATATATTTTTTACACTTATAGAACAACTACAGTTACTTTACAGTGTAGAATAATTCATACAAAGCATATTATCCATTTATGAAATATGATTAAATGTGGCTCCACCGCTACTAGTTGGAACTTTGAAATGCTTTTTACATGTTCAGTGGTGGAAAATAACTATTCAAGTAATGTATTACTGAACAAATGTGAGGTAGGGCAGTTGTTCTTGAGTATTACCACCTTCTGTTACTTTATTTTGTACTCCACTACATTTTTAAGGGGAAATATTGTACTTTTTAGCCCAGATAGGAACTTATAAGTACTATGATACTTTAAGTACACTAACCTGATAATACTTTTGTACTATTACTAAAGTAGGCTTTTAAATGAAGGACATTCATTTGTAACAGTGTATTTTTATACTGTTTTTTCATTTAACTAAAGGATCTGAGTACTTCTTCCACCTCTGCAGACATTAATAAATCAGTAATAAAATGATTTACATAATAAGTCTTGCTTGGGGGCATTCTGTCTATGAGTACTTTTCTTTTGAAAGTTAAAGCACATTTAGCCAGTATTTCTTACTTTAACTTTTGCTACTTGGAAAAATGTGTATTCAGTGCTTTTACTTGTAATGGAGTATGTTTATAGTGTGGTATTGGTACTTATAAAGGATCTGATTGCTGCTCCCAGTAATTGCATACATTGCAGACATGAATTACAGCCTGATCTTTTGTTGTCATGGTTATGAGTTTCATTATGAATGTAAATGAATATTTAAGCTTCATATTCCCACAAGTACTTCCACTATCTGGATATCGTAATTAAAGCTTAATTCCAGGGATATACTTGGAGACATAAAACCTGTTATTAGTGTTTAACAATGACTCCGTGTGTGTGTGTGTGTGTGTGTGTGTGTGTGTGTGTGTGAATATGGCAGCTGTAAAGGAGACTGCATATTTTTAGACCCAGTGTTTGGATGCTGTCATTACAGGCTGATGTGTGTCTCTCTACAGTATTTTTAACCCACGCTGTGCTGACAGAATGTGCTCCCATTACAGACACAAATGTTACTGAACAGTCTAAAATAGATATAACATAATAATAATAATAAAACATTTAATACATTTATCTTTCAAATGGAAAAAAATGAACCTGTCGAGAAAACAGACTTTATAACTTGAAACATAAGGGCACGATCACACATGCCAAGGCGATATTCATATTGAATGTGAGCTGTGCCGGATGTGACCGTGGATGTGTGTAGAGAACTACAGCATCTGAGGTGGAGCCCATGGGTGCCTCATGATGATATAAAATGGGGAAGCAAACTTGGAGAGACACAAAATTGGTGGGGGGGTCTGTATGTAATTACAAATAAATTTCCTGAATTTCTACACCACCTGCACCAGCCCAGATTAGTTAGATTGATGGTGTAGAGAACAGCATAATAACTGGGTGGACCCTGAGAAAATAAGAGAATAATCACAATAATCACAGTGGAGTTTACTGTGTGGCCCCCAGCTGAAAGGGCCCAAACATTAATAGACCTGTTAGGATATTCAGATATGAAAACTACTGAATCATGTTATTATTCTAACTCATTGTACCCCAAAATAACTTACAAAGCTCCCTTAAAACAGGCAACTTCAGGGGAAACTATTGTACCACTACATTTATCTGACAGATAAATGCTACTGATTATGTTGCAGATTCAGATTTGTACTCATAAAACAATGCATTATTTTATTAAGTTTTCAGCATTGTATAAGAATTAAAAGCCTCACCCTGAACAAACTGTACGTAAATTTAAATACATCATGCTAATAAAACAACTCCTGACTGCAGGACTTGGACTTCAATTTTTGCTGTTCACATAATAGTTTTACTTAAGTAAGATGTTTTGGGTTCTTCTTCTGCAGCTGTCAATAGTTGACCAACATTCCCAGTTAGAGAAATGGTGAAAATAAAGTAAGACTGTTTGTCTGGGGCCCCAGATCCTCAAAATCACTGAATCTGCCACTGTAAATAATAATGAAAGCACAGTGCAGAGCGGCTGCATGAAGGACCGATATCTTGTACATCACCGTCCCTGTATGTAGATATGATTCCATCTAAAGTCTGACTAAAACTGAAACTAAAACAAAGTAGTCTACAAAGTTCTCAAGAAGTCACTCTTGTTCTGTTAATTCAGGCAGTTTGGTGCTTTGAGGAGAAGCTCTCACTGCACTGTCAGTCTGCTCTAATCGATCAGCTCTGTGATCAGTTATCAGGGTGGTCCAAAAATATGTTTGTTTTATTGGCCCGCTTGTTTTTGTCAGTTGTGTAAAATTGTAAAATTATTATTGATATTATTGATATGGGCTGTTTAAATATAATCACCTGATTGCAGGGACTCTATGAGGATATTTATTTTTAAAGAGGACAAAAGTGGGGTCACAAAACCATAACATTGCTCCCCCTAATTGAATAACGAGGATGCATTTGCTCCACTTGCTGCATTGCTCAGGCGCCTATGGCAGGGCCCCAGTTATGCCTATGAAAGTTGCGCATTAAGCCAGGAAAGTTTGACTTCTTGGGTGTAAAACCACATGGGTCTTCTACATCATTGGGCTCACAGAGCAAATGCAGCAGAGTCTTGGTTGGCGGGGTGGCTACTAACTCTCACAGGCCAAATGGCTAACTTCCTGTTTAGCGCTCTGCTAACTTGAATAGGGATAAAATGATTTAATCATGCAGCTCTTCTAGACTTTTTAAATGTTAACAAACTAAATGGATCAAGTCCCGATAGTGAAACTAATCATTTTGCAGAAGTTCCGATGCTCAATAATGTATCCACTAATTTACAGACGTCTCTTTCACTGTGTAAGTCGATGGGAAAAAGTATTTTTGGGCCACATGGCATCATGGGATGGACCTGGAGGGTGTAGTTACACAGTTTGGCCACAGACCCTCAGAAGTGTGCTGGGCTTTGAAGCCAATTAGTAGTGGCCAAACAGTGGAATTACAACTCTCAAGTCCGTCAGGTGACGCCATTGGGCCCAAAAAGACTTCTCCATTAGACTTTCATTGAGAAAGGGAGGTCTGTAAATCAGTGGATATCTTTATAAGTGTTACAACCTCCTCTAACTGGCTTTACTATCAGAATTTTATCCATTCACTCCAGTAACATTTGGAAAGTCTGGAAGATTTGCAAGATATATTTTTTTTATCTCCATTCAAGTTAGCAAAGTGCTAAACCAGAAGTTAGCTGCTTGGCTGGTGGAAGTCCCTGGTGCGCTTGATCTCTGGGCCCAACGATGCTGAAGCAGCGCTGATCGTCCAGGTAATTTTATACATGACAGTTAACTGTTTTTGGCTTCATTGGCCACTGAGCAACTTTTCACAGGAATGAACGGGGTCTCACCTCCAGCACTGTATTGATGTCTCTTTTAAAGATTATTTTTTGGGCTTTTTGCCTTTAATTGACAGGACAGTGTGAAATGGGGAGAGAGAGAGAGTGGGGGCATGGCATGCAGCAAAGGGTTGCAAGCTGGAATCGAACCTGCGACCACTGCAGCGAAAAAACCATAACAGCATCGCCTCTGTACATGGGGCGCCGGCACTATCCACTACCAACACCCCATGTATTGATGTCTCTTAATACACCCATGTGTGGCCACTATGTCAAATTAGTATCTTCTGGGGGGCCAGGATGTGATGCACATGGAAAGCTAGCTTCCTAGCTAACAAATGAACGTTAGCAAGCGAATACAGCCAAAATTATATTATTGGTAAATTTTCCATTTTCTCTTGATTCACTGCCAGCCAGGCAGCATCTCTCAAAGCCTACAATATCAGCGCTTGGAAAACTACAGCCAAGGACAGACAAGTGGGGTCAACCACACACAGGCTAGGCTACCTCTAGGCTAGGCTATTGCTGGAGGCTACGACTTCACTGGTCAAAGTTCACCCAAGGTGTATTCCACATGATGCAACTTTGTGATTTTGCTGTGCTACTGAAATAAATAGAAATATTTGTTAATTTTGCGCATGAGTGACCTTGCCCTAAATCAGTTTGCTTTGTATTGCTTTCAATTGATTAGCCTTGTAGATTGACAGAAAATACATCAGCTACAGTTCTGACAATCAGTCATTTAAAAGAAAGAAAAATCTTGTCGTTCTAGCTTCTCAAATGTGAATATTTGCAGTTTATCTCAATCTAAATTAAATATTTCTGAAAGGAGGATATGGTTTGACCTCTTTTGTAAAAAAACATTTTCTAACTTACAGTATAGGCTAGTTTGCATTTATAAAAATCAGATTTGGTCAAAAAACAGTGGTGTAATGTTCTCCTACTGCACCCAAGTACAACTTTACGGGAGGGCCTACTTGTAGGACTCAGCCTACTTAACTTGAGTCTTTGCATCTCATGCCACATTCTGCTTCTGCTCCACTACATTTCAATAGGAGTAAAATAAACAGTGTTGATAAAAAAAAAAAAATATTCCAAGACAATAAATATCACAAATGGTCAAACAGTTCCACATCCCTGCACACACCCACACACCAAACTACAGCCACTTTTTTCGCAATTGTGATGATATTTTGTCAGATTTGATTTATACCCCCTCTCGTTTATAAACCCCGCCCACACGTGCCGCGTAATACGGAAATACGTCACACCACTGAAGCTAAAGATGCTTCAACTGCCGTTTCACTGTGACTTTAACATTAAGTTGTACTCTGTGGCAAACTTTGGCCACACCTAGATCCTGTCCCATTTCCACAAAAAAAAAAAAAAAAAAAAAAAAAAAAAAAACAGCCTTTTTTTTTCTGCTGGTGCGTTTGTTTGTGTGACGGCGAGTCCCGGCGGTGTAACCGGAGAGGGGCCTCAGAGAGGGAATGCAGGACTGCAATGGAGCACAATGCAATACAGGTAAAGCCGATATAATTTCCAAATAAATGTCGATTAATATTACTTGCACCCGGCCGCGTTTTTGACCTGTTGATGTGGGGAATATTTTAACCGTGTGTCGTTGTGAATTGAAGCCCAATATCGCGTTTTATTTCATTTAGTTTCACCATGTCGTATTGATTGTTTTCCCATATCAACCAAACCCAGGCACCGAGAGTTGCTCTGACTGCAATTACAACTTTATTCAACCAGGCTCAACTTTTTTTTCCTCCAGAGGTGGAAAATAAATCGCTGATATTTGTATTTTCACGGGAAAACAATCGGCTTTGACGCCGAGCTGTCGCCTCGTTTGATATCGGAGACTCAGCCGTTAAATTCCAGTTTAATATTTCTGATATTTTCGCCGTGTTAATGATTAATTTCTTTGTGTGTCGTGTCGACAGTCTCAGCTTCTGCTCTGGCTACCAACCCCCACCCACACTAACAACACATTAGCTAAATAAAATTAAATTTTCTGGCCGTTTGCCTGCCTGAAAATATCAGGAAACTTTTAAGCTAGTCCACCTTTTTAACAAAAACTAGCTAGCAGCGAGTCGTTGCATCGACATTTTTTCATATTTGAACGCAGAGTCGCCAAATTAATTTCCACACCGACGTGATATTAAAGATTGAAATATGTTTTTTCGGCAGAGACTAGGTGGAGCAGCAGTAATGTTGCTTATAATAGGAAGCATATTGATATTATTATCAAATCCCTCCCGACATTTTGTCTCCGGCGTAATTGCCACAGTTTAAGGAGGAATGTTAATATTGTGTGTATGAAGGGGAAATGTAGAGTTTGTGTACTTGAAATAGCGAAGATTAGTCCTGCTTAAAAAACCCAGGAAACATCCAGAGGACACACAGCTTGAGCAATGTGGGCTTTTAGTCGAAATGAAAACATTATTTTGACAGGAATACTTCATGTGTGGCGTGGGATATATTTAATATTCCAGTTGTGGCAGTATATTTTTATAATATCTCTGTTTTGAATATTAATTTATTGCAGTATTGAGAGATTTTCTCCCAGTGGTGAACTTGTGAGCTTTTTGAATAACAGGATATACCCAAGGTCAATACTGTGTAGATTGTGTGTTTGGATTTAATTTATTTATTTATTGTCTAAAGCAGGAGACATTTTATTATTAATATTCGTCGGAGGTTTTTCCCCCCCCCTCTTCCTTCCCGTACTGAAAACTGTGTAAAAAAAATTTCTCACTGCATTATTCCCAGAAATATCACGAGAACTGACGTAGGCAGGGTGCAGATTAAGGGTTTCCATCTTAAAATTCTTGTGTGTGTGTGTGTGTGTGTGTGTGTGTGTGTGTGTGTTCACATTTTAGACAGAGGGCTGCCTCTCAGTGCTCAGATTATATTATGTGGCTTTTATTTTCCTGCCTGCTCAGCCCTGCCTCGTTTCCACCGCTAGGCTGGAGCACTGCTTCAGCTGGCCCTCCCCCAGGGCTACAAAAAAAAAAAAAAAAGATATTCATATAACACTCCTATAGTGCATAATAGTATGTTTATGATACACTCTGCTCACTTGATGGTAACACTTATCATTTGGTCTGTCTGTAATTTAAGTTAAATATATGTGTAATCATTCTGGGGCTAAAACTGTGTCTGCAAAGCTGAACAGTAACTTGATGTCACTGTGATGTCGTATGTTTCCTTGCTTTTCCTGCTTTTACATTTGTGTAAGCTAATATAGGCTTTGATCTATACACTGTATATAACAGTACTATAACAAGCACTTAAAGGCTTTAAAGATCAGTTGATGACCAGGAAGTATAATCGATTTTTTTAATTGATTTTTTTTTTTATAATCGATTAATAATTTTTTAAACAAAAATGCCCAAATTCTTTAGTTCCACTTCCTCTAATTTGAGTTTACAGGACATTAGTCTTATTTTGTTGTATTATTTTTCCTTGCTCATATACGCACACATAACTGGAGCAAGTCAAATTTTTGATTTTTATTTTAAGCAAAAATACCTCAAATTTTCTGGTTCCAGCTTGTCAAATGTGAGTTGAATAGTGAATTTATTTAACTTTGTTGTAGTGAAGTTTTGTCCTGCTGAAATACCTACAAATAACTAGACCGTAAACTAATAATCGAACAGGTGATTTACGAAAAGTAAATGGGCAACAATTTTGACAATCAATGAACCATTTTTTGAGCAAAACTGCCCCAAATTCTCTGGTTCCACCTTATCAGATGTGAACATTCACTGCTTATCTACTTTTACATGATAATAAATGCGATATTTTTGTGTTTTGAACTTTCAGTCAGACAAAACAAGTAAATTTTAAATAATAAGTTGCAGCTGTATAACTTTATGGCTTTGCTCTGACTTGATATAGTGTATTCTGTATCATGAACTAATAGGCTACTCTAATAATCTTGACACATGGGCCTGTGTGTTTGTGTATGTATAGCTGTTAAATATCCTTATAATATTAACTTAAATTCAATTACCCGTGAATAGTTTGTCAGTAGAACTCAATATTGTCCTGATCATACATAATTGTATTCCCTTATGTGAGTATAATAATCCTTAAAATATCGTACAGTATCACTATAGGGGCATACAGTGGCGCTGTAACTGACCTTATGGTATCCCTTTACTGAAGTATTACTATCATACCCTCATACTTAAGTGAAATATTCCTATGACTGGTTTAATACTATGTCTTTATTACTCAATGGTGTAATAATCTTTATCATAATCTTATTTTATCACATCTAATACTGCTTAAATATTAGAGTGTGGCTCACAGTAATCAGTGGAGTAATCAATAATCATCTTCATTTGGCTTAATAGTAGTCTTAGTCCTATAAAATTACTATAATGTGTAAAGTTACCAGAATATGTCTATAATATACTTATCACGGTTTATGTTGCGTGTGTAGAGCTTAATGGTGATTTTTATCTTACTTCGCTCAATTCATTCTTCGTCTTTGTCCAAGAAAATATTTTAATGTTCCCTTTTATTATTCTTCTAATGTCTGTTTGATTATCACTTAATTAAATTCCTTCTCATATTGTCAACGAGTACAACAGGTCAGAAAAAAATAATTCTCCCATAGTGGCTCACATGAATCATTGGACAATATATTTTGCTTTGTGGTATTTGCAATCCTTAAAATTATCTTGAGTAAACCTACAGGGGTTAACATTGTGTCTGTGGAGCTAAACTATGATTTTAGGCTAAATTTGTTTTATTCTTCCTCTTTATTTCAACTTATATACTTATAAATAAGGTATAAAAATCACTTAAACAACCAATTTGTTGTTTATAGTACTCAATATTGTTTTATCCGTACTTAATTATAGTCCTCTTGTTATTGCATGTGGTATAATTATCCCTAAAAACATCTAAAATATCCCTGTGCTTTTTTTTTATCCCATTGTAACTATAATATTTCCTAAAAAGTTTGGCTATAGTAGCGGCAAAACTGCCATTAGGATATTCAGCAGGGATTTATCAAATTAAATGTTAATACTTTGAACATTAAAGTATATTTATAGCACCTTTTAGTATCTCTGTGACTCACTCATGAGTATATAGAGAGTTAGTTACTCTGTAGGCACTTTATCTCAATTAATCACTCATTTATCTCTAAAATACATCTGTAATATTTTCCTCTGGACTTAAAATGTACCTCAGGGACTTAGTACTGAGTTTGCACTGAATATTTAATGATTATTTAGTCCTATAGTGTCTTTATGATAATTCTTTAGGGACTTGCAGCATGTTTAATGACTTTATTCCACACGGTCTTCTTTTAATCTTGCTATATGGGGTTTATATTGTGTCTCAGATGCCCTGTTGTGATTTTTTTTCTCCCTGTATCATTATTAGAGTCTTGTTATGGTTTCACAGGGACTTTGTGTTCGATTTCATCCTCCTGTGGTTCGATTATTTCACTTCCTATAGCAGGATATAGACTGAGTATGACATTCAACAGTGACCTTGTCTGTTTTAGTCATAGTCTTTCTTCAGTTGCATCACTGTCATATTTCTTTTAATTCAAATATAATGTTCCTGTGGGGACTCAGAAAGTGTCTGGGTGATAGTGAGCTTGTCTTGCTTGGTGTTGTTTTTCACCAGTGTTTTTAGTATCCTACAGTTTTCCCACAGGGCCTTAGTTTAGAGTGTGTCTGTGATACTTCATAGTGACGTAATTAAACATTACGCCACTGCATTAGGTTTTGAGGCGGCCTGTTTTTAATTGTTGTGGTATTGATGTCGCTGTGTATAGCTGATATGTATATTTTCTGCGGTGACATTTATTCAGTATCTTTCTAAAATTGATCCGGGGCCTGCTGCAGCTGGTCTGCAGAGCTACAGCGGGTGGGGGAGGGTGGGAGGAGGTTCTGCCTGTGGTGGGTTATGGGTATTGGGTGGGGGAGGGTGTGCTGGGTGGGGTGGGGGTTGTGGATGATCAACACAAGAGTGAGAATTTTAGAATATTCTGCATTTAGGCAGCAGGCGGGAGGTGAAGGGCGACAGAGGCAGGCAGGAGAGCTGGACGACTGGTTGTTTTAGAAGCAGAGTATTTCTGGTGCAGAAAGAGCAGCTAATACAGTATGTGCATTTATTTTGTGAATCTTTATGACCCATCTATCATGAGTAAATGGATAGCAGCTGCATAGGCGGATACACCCTGAGCTTATACAGTACAGTAGGCCTTTTATTTTATGTGGATACGGTGAATGTGACCTGCTTTATTTTAATTCACTACATATGAACAATCTTTCACGCACTTAAAACTGTTCAGGCATGCTTCATTTAAGCATTAGAGCTGCAACAATTAATTCATTAGTGGTATTATAAGAAAATTAAACTGCAGCTAATCTGATGATTTATTCATCTATTTAAAGAAGAAACTTCAAACATTATGTGGCTATGAGAATTTGTTGCTACTCTTGGTTTATTATTTTAGTAAACTGAATATTTTTGTACCCTGGACTGTC